CTTGAAGAGTAGTTTGGGAGAGAGCTAACCAGTAGTTCTGCAAGATGGCACGTTCCAGACTGGAAAAAAATTAGACCACTTCTACTGGGAATATTCGGGACACAGTAGCCATCCAACACTCCTGTCTTGCTAAGCAGTGCCCCAGGGTGCAGCTCAATGAAAGGGTCCACAGCTTCAGTCATCAGCACACAGAAATCTCTTCACCTTGAATGTCAAGCTTTCTGGACTTTTTCAAAGCACGATATCAGTATATAGCATCATGTCTGAAAGACCTACAAACCCCAAGGCCCTGCACACATTTAACCACTTTGGGAAGCAGATTAATAGAATAACCAATAAAACATGTATACGAGCTTTAATTAAGTCTGACAAAACCAAACTTCATGTTTTATTTATGGGCAGTACCAACATGTAAAAGATTCAGAGAGACACACGTTTTTATTGTCATTTCTTCCTCTCATATCTATAATTGAATCCAGGCTTCGACCTTGGCCTAAAGCAACATGGCATTTAAAAACTGCCCTTGGAGGTGCTCCTCCCCTCCCCCACTTATCTGCTTCTAATTATACGAGCTGGCTCTAATATGACAGAGCCTAATGGCAAAAAAACCAAACAAACAGAAAACCCAAACCAAAACAATAGCTAGGCCAGTTATGCTTGCAAGGACACCCCAAAGGACAATTTCCACCATGCTGGGGTTGTTATACATTTCCAGTTTTATTTTGTACCAAGTGCACAAACCCTTCATTTTACCTTTGACATAAAAAAGGACTTCATGGAACAAGACAAAATAACTTATGATTATATGAAACATAACTGTGACAAATCACAAAACTATACATATTAATAGAAAAAAGTACCTAATTCTTTAAAAGATTTATGACAATAGGCACCAGATGTAGCACTAGAATAGAATCAGCCTGATATACAGTATGATATATGCAGTTCATATCTATATGTGAGCATATATAACTATGTACAAGAGTCTGTATGAGTTATGGAAAACAGATTTCCATTTCTTTTCTTCCAAAGTGCTTTGTGTAAGTGACATTACACAGGATGCTTTGCTGTCTGTACAAAATAAATCCTTTTTTTTTGTTGCACATACTATTATTTTCCAATGTGTGTCTCTCTGCTATAGCTGTTCATAGAAAAAAAATAACCACACAAATTCTATTCTAACAACCAAAAGTGCCATTTAAAAGAAATGCTGATGACATGGTTGAAAGAGTGAGATCAAAATCTCAAATGATGCACAAAGTCATTATATCCAAGCCTTCAAGGCAATCAAGATAGAACGGTGGTCTTGGGCAGATGAGGGCAACATTTCCCCACATGAGAAACTAGTCTTATGACCAAGCTTTTTTGATTTTCTCATAATTAGCCATCCCTAAACCCACAAGTGGGATCACCATTGTACACCAGTAGAGAGGTCCTTTTACAACCACAGAGTTGCCTCTGTGATACTTGGCGAAGAAGGCAAGGGGAGATGAACAAAGGGCTGGTGAGGATTTAGATCATAGTGGATCTGAATCTAAACTATAACAGCTTTTTGGATGTAATGCCTTTTGAGAATTAAGACAATGCAGCAAACAAAATGTCTTCAGGCGTGTTGCTTTAATACCATCAGATAACTGGCATTGGACTATGTGTATGTGGTATTTTCACAAGCACCTCTTTAAAAAAAAAGATAGAAAAGGAAAAAAAAACGAGATAGACAATTCCTGTTCAGATAGTTCACAAAAGTTACATAATAAGCTAAAAATGGATAGGGAACAATTTCTAAAAGTAGGCTTACAATAGTGCCAGAATAATAATGAAAGCACATACACACTTCCTGCAGGTATTAGGTCCATCTAAGACAGGGCTGAACCTTGGATCCCTGGTAAGCGATGACATAGAGAGTTGTGTAGGGGTGAGATTTTTATACTTTAGCCACTCTTTCTTCCCATTTATCCAATTATGTATTATGGGGCTGAAACAAGAACAGGGACAGGGAAAGAAGGAGGTTTTACAGGTTGGGCTTTCCATCTGTGGTGTAGTGGAAAGAACACTGGCCCAGGAGTTAGAAGACTTTGGTTCAAGTCTTGACGTTGCCACTAATTCCTCGTGTGGCCTTGGGCAAGTCACTTTATGTCTCTGGGCCTCAACGTGCTCATCTACAAATGAAATTGAACTAGATGACCTCAAAAATCTTTTCCAAAAGATGGTCTTCTAAGATTTTATGAATATCATAATAGTAATAGCATTATGAAACACTTCAAAGTTTATAAAGTGCTGCAAAAATATCTCATTTTTCTCTTCACGACCCTGACAGGGAGGTTACTAGCTTTACCTCCATTTTACACATGAAGAAAAACCGAAGCAGAATCTAAATGTTTTGTCTAGTGTCACACAGCTAGCAAATGTCTGGATTCACATTTGAACTCATGTCTTCCTGACTCCATGCCAGGCACTCTAACCACCAAGTTACCGAGGAGAAATCCCTGATTTCATTGCCGATGGCCCCTCCTGCAGTACCTATATGGTGGCTTTCATGCTATAAATGCTGTGGAAGTCAGGAGAGGTGGGCGATGCCTACAGAGCCTCTCTGCACTTTCACTCCAGGCAGATGCCAGTGATGGGGTGACAGTGCCTAAGGAAGAGCTAGAAATAACATTGGTGGTCAGAGAACCAAGTATGTCTTCATAGGAAGGCAGACTGTTACTGGGAATGGTTGCCATCTTTTAGAATAGATTGCTGATCGTCATTCTTGAATTTTTCTGCTTCACCCTAATAGCCCCTTTTCCATGTTAGGATTAATATCATAGTCACATGATATGACAGTGAGATTAATTGGTAACATCACCAATCTATGAACTGTCTCACCCAACACAGCCCTTTTCTTCCTTTCTCTATATGAATAAATTGTATGTACTTTGAATAAGTCATAATTGCTTCAGAGTTCAGAATTAATTGATTATCTCTGAAGAGTCTAAAGCCATTTTCTTTTCTTAGCCTGAGTTTGACAAAGGTCAAATAGCAGGATGATTTAGACAAAAGAGATTTTACCATACAAGTGTACAAAATGTGTTTGTACATTTTATCTGCACCTGAAAGAATATAAGTGTCTTGAGGGCATGGAATGCTTCATTTTTGTCTGAATTCTCAGCACCTAACATAGTACCTGGAACCTAGTAGGTGCTTAATGTTTGCTGACGTACTGATTTATAGGCTCCTGAAAATGTGCAAAACAGTTCAATTTTTGTTTTTAAATTATATTTAAAATGTATTAGAATAACTTTATGTAAAACAAAATAACTGCTCCCCAATTAAGCACTTTTAAGTTTGAATCTTTCTTTACTGGTTTTTCCTGTAGTAGGGCCCATTTGCATACAGAGAAGTTAGCCTATTTTCACCTGGGTCCATAGTATAGAGCAGTGGTATCAAACTCAAACTGAAACAGGCCACTAAACCATGCATAAGGATTCCTTTAGGCCACATGTTGACTTAGAAAACCACATATTAAAATAATCTATATTATATTGTAATTTTATTCATTTTGTTAAATATTTCCCAATTATAGTTTAATCTGGTTCAGGTCCACTTGGGGGTACTGCTGCAATGGAGCCTGTTGGCTGTGTGTTTGACATCCCTGACTGACACACGTGTTCTTCTCTCAACTCATCATTAGACCTAATGTTGGGACTGAACTTCAGAATCCTGTAGGAAAAGATTTACCACTGAAGCTCAGAAATCACTCAGCAGTATTTGAAATTACCTATTATTTTAGGCACAACACCAGATTTCTTTATTGGCCTATTAATAGTTTTCCTAATGAGGTTATTTCCCATCCGCTATTACAAATAAAAAGGTAGCTTTAGTCTTTAAATATAATGGCATCAAAACATGTTTTGAACATTTTGATAGTCTCATGCCCCAGAACTTGTTAGTTTTATTTATTTATTTATTTGGCTGGGCAATAGGGTTAAATGACTTGGCTAGGGTCACACAGCTACTGAGTGTCAAATGCCTGAGGCTGGATTTTAATTGAGGTCCTCTTGACTCCTGGGCCAGTGCTCTATCCACTATGCCCCCTAGCTGCCCCAGAATTTCTTACTTTTAAAAAGATATCAGAAATAGTAGCTTTCTACCTCATCTTGAAATTTATGAACCAAAATAGGGCAAAATTTAAATTCTGGGCTTCCGAGCTAGCATTTCAAAAATGGTGACTTCCCATCTCTCTTCCATCCCCTATTCTGTATCCCTTGTCTCAAACTTCCTCCATTATCACTTTCAACTGGTTTCTTACGAATTCTCTCCAAAGCTGGTAACTGGGTGTTATGAGTGGAATGGCCTGGGCCCGAGCTGGAGTTGTGCAGGAGGAGGAGACCAATAGGTGGGGAAGAGAGAGAGAGAGAGAGAAGGGGAAAAGGAAGAGCAAAGAGAACAGTACCAGGCTGGGAGAAGAGGGAGGACAGTATTTACATAGTAACTGTTCACCTTAGTCCCCCATTCATTTCCTCCTATACAGATGCGATGTCTGGAACCTCCCTCCCAGCTCCCCCAGACTCTGCCTCATCCAGCCAAAGGCCTGCCAATGTCTCACCTGGCCAGAGCACCAAAATGGGATTTAATGTATCAGTTTGTAGCCCTTCTCTTGGCACAGGCTCCTTGGAATGGAAGGCCCAAATCTTACTGAATTAAATCGGCTCTAAGACTTTGCATTCAGTGCTGGAGGAACACAGCTGATATAATTCAGCCACTCATCTGCTAACTACAAAACTGAAAGATCAAAGTACTCCCAAGCACTGCTGGGTCTGTGTGGGCAGGATTTTAAAGGCTGGGGAAATACAAGTAGGGGTCTTTATTTACTTGGCCATGCCAGAAACAGGCCACAGGAAAGTTGTTGAGTTCTTTTGTTTGTTTTTTCTTCTTCTTTTAAGTGCGGAAAAGGTACCCTAATTCTTACAAGTGGAAGAATTGGCTAGGATAAAAGTAAGTTGTCTTTTGAGTCGCTGTACTTGGCAGATTATTTTTATTCACTGCATAAAATAATTAGAGAAATATCAAAAAGCAATCTACTGGTAAGCCTGTGGGTATAAAGTGGGAGAGCTGAACCAAGCTTGCTGGAGATCCTGGGGACAGGGGGCATCCCTGGAGGGCCTCTGGAAGGTGGTGCCACCAGAGGCATCTGTCAGAAGCTCTTACTTTTTTTTTTCCCCTTTTATGTTTGGCTTTACTTAGCTGCAGAAGCACCACAGAGCCACGTGCCTGGCATAGCCCTGTGCCTTAAGAAGCTTGTACTGTGCCTCAGTGTCCTTGCATGAAAAGAGGATTGTCCCCAAACCAAGCCTCTATTTTTTCTTTCATGATTTCAGTGGTTGCATGTGAAAAGTCTCCCAACAACAGCCACTTTCTCATTCAGTCTTTGAATTCCCTTTGAATAGATAGTTGCGGTTGACACATAACTTAGCAAACAGAAGGAGAAAGAGACATGACTGCTGAGCTTCTGAAGGCTTGATGAGGACTCATATCTCCCATTCCTCTTCTGCAAGGATCCTTCTGTGCCCCTGGGCTTTGCAAACCCTGGCACTTGGAGTCCTGACTGGGATGAAGTGAAGGGGTTTCGAAGCAGAGGATTTGGGGATGAGCATTAGATGCCTGGGTGGCTTTTAGCCTTCAGTATAGACAGAAGAGAGCTGGCTGGGGCAGCGATCCACAGCACTGATCTGTAGGAAGGTGGCATCTTCAGGTCCATTTCGTAGAGACTCTCCAAAGATACCTGTGGGGCCTGATGGCAGATCATACACTGCAAGAGAGAAGAGGAAGCTGTTGGTGATGGGTCACTTTACAATGGAGTCCGCCCAGCCAACAATACCCCTAAACAACATTAGCCTGCAGGGCAAGTTTAGGGTAGACCAGAGAGAAGTGAGGAGTCCCTGGTAAGATACAAATACTGGGAAAACAAAGGGAAATCACCCCCTTCTGATATTTTGCCCATGGTTTCTAAGCCACCAATATCAAACAGACCTGTAATGCCTGAATGAGCTGAAAAAGCTCTGTGGAAAACATCGAACCCTGCCTGGCCCATGGGTGCAGGGACAAGGCAGTCTTCAAAGGAAGGCACCATATTGCAGGAGTTGCCATGGGCCATGTTTCTCTGAGGATCACTGTAATGGGGGGGACAAAATGTCTGCAGCTGCCCGTAGAACCCTGAAACAAAGAAATAACCTTGAGTTTCCTGCAAAGCATGAAGGGAGCAACAAAACATTAGAGAAAGGGCCCCAAAGACCCTTGTAGACTCACTTAGTATTTAGAAGAAGGCTGTCCTTTAAAATGAGCCATTTCAGTGACACCACTGGTATTTACTACAATATGGGTGCGATATTGTATAGTGGAAAGACTAGATTTGAATCCCAACTCTTCTACTTTCTCTGTGTATGACTTCATACAAGTCATTTTCTTTGAGCTTCAGTTTCCCCATCTATAAAAATAAGGGATTTATCTAGATATCTAAGCTCTGTTATAGGTTTAATCCTGATAACTAAAGTAGCCCAGGAAGGTCATACTGCAGGTGAATTACCACAGATAACTGGAAGTCATTAAAAGTTGTTTGTATAAATTGTTCTCCTAGTTCTGTTTGACTTCACTTTGCAGCAGTATATGGAAGTCTTACCAGATTTCTCTGAAACTATCGCCTTAATCATTTCTTGTTGTTTGTTATTTTTTAATTTTTTGGTTGGGCAATGGGGGTTAAGTGACTTGCCCAGGGTCGCACAGCTATTAAATGTTGTGTCTGAGGCCAGATTTGAACTCAGGTCCTCCTGAATCCAGGGCTGGTGCTCTATCCACTGCGCCACCTAGCCGCCCCTCCCTTAATCATTTCTTAAAGCATATTAGTATTCCATCTCAACTTCTTCAGCCATTCCACAGCTAATGAACAATTCCTTAGTTTCCAGTTCTTTGCCACTTCAAAAAGATCTGTTATAAATATCTTTGTTCAGAGAGTTCCTTTTCTTTGATCTCTTGAAGGTAATAAACCTAGCAGAGGTATTACTGGGTCAAAAGGATATATCCATTTTTAACAGTTTTTTCTTAATTTTTACACATAGTTGCAAATTGCTTTCCAGAATGGCTGGAACAGTTCACGACTCCATCAACAATACGTTAATGCACCTGTTTCCCCACAGCATTTGTCATTTGCCTTTTTGTATGTGAAGTGGTACCCTGAGTTGTTTTAATTTTCATCTATCTAATTATTAGTGATTTACAGCATTTTTCATGTTGCTTTTGATAGCTTAGACTTCTTCCTCTGTTTCATATTCCTCCACCATCTTTATAAATTTTACTCAATTCCCTGCATAACTTATAAATGAGTCCTTTATTTGGACTTTGTTTATCCCTAGTTTCTGCGAGATTACTTTCCAGCATTCCCAATACTTTTTGTTGAATAGTGAGTTCTTGACTCAACAACTGGGATTAGGGGTTTAACAAACACTAGACTACTGTGCTTATTTGCTTTTATATATTGTATATCTAATTAATTTCACTGATCAACCTGTTTCTTACCCAGGAACAAATTGTTTTGATGATTATGTCTTTGTAGTATAGTTTGTTCTAAAACTCCCTTCCTTCTTGCCTTTTTTCCTTAATTCTCCTTATATTCTTGATCTTTGTTCCTCCAGATGTTTGGTTACTATTTTTTCTAGATTTATAAAGTTATATTTTGGTAGTTTGGCAATAAGGAATTTAATTTAGATCATGTAATTTTTGTTACATTGGCTTAGCCTACCCATAAAGAATTAATACTTCTCCAGTTATCTAGATTAATATTTGTGCAAAGAGTAGTTTGTAAATGTGTTTATATAGTTCCCGTGTATGTCATGGCACAGGTAGATTCTCAACTACTTTATTTTGTCTGTAGTTATTTTAAGTGGAATTTCTCTTTCTATCTCTTCCTGCTGGATTTTGTTGTTAATATACAGAAATATAGGTGATTTGTAGTTTTTTTCTCATATCCTTCACCTTTGCTGAGATTATTTTAGTTTTTTTAGTTGACTTTCTTGAGTTCGCTAATTATCATATCATTTATTTATTAAATATAATTTATAAAAGTGATAATTTTATTTCCTCTTTGCCTATGCTTATTCCTTAATTTCCTTTTGCTTATTGATAAACTTAGCATTTGATGCTAAGTATAATTACTTATCAGATGATGTAGGAATTTGGTAGGATTCCTTTATTTTTTTTTCCCCCAAACAGTTTATTTTTGGAATTTCTTTTTCTTTAAATGTTGGGTAGAATTAACTTGTAAATCCATCTGATCCTGGGAAGTTTTTCCTTGGGAATTCGTTTATGGCCTGCTCAATTCTTTTTCCATGATGGAGTTATTTAAGTATTGTATTTCTTGTTCTGTTTATCTGAATAGTTTGGATGTTTGTAAACATTGATTCATTTCACTTAGAGTGTCAGTTTTATTGTCATATACTTGGACAAAATAGTACATAAAATTGCTGTATTTCTTCATTGGTTATGAATTCACCCTTTTCATTTTTGATAATGGAAATTTTTTTCTTTTTAAATCAAGCTAGCTGGTGGCTTATCTATTCTATGTTTTTTGTTTGTTTTTAAACAGATCCTAGTTTTATTTATTAGTTCAATTTTCTTTCTTTCCATTTCATTAATCATTCCTTTGATTTTCAGGATTTCCATGTTGGTACTTAATTGAGGGAGGTTAATTTGTTGGTTTTCTAGTTGTTTTAATTGAATTTCCAATTCATCATTCTGTTCTTCCTCTCTTTTATTGATGAAAACAATTCAGGGATATAAAATTTCCCCTAAGTAGCGCTTTGGCTGCATCCTCAAATTGTTGATATGCTGTCCTATTGTTGCTATTTTAATGAAATTATTAAATGTTCCTATGAATTGTTTTTTGACCCCTCCCATTCTTTGGGGTTCTTTAATTTCTAATTGATTTTTAACCGTTGTTTCAAAGGCAGCTTATTGAATCTAATTGTTACTGTGTTGTGGTTGGTCAGTAAAAGATGCAGTTAGTATTTCTGTATTTGTTTGTCAGGTTTTATGCCCTGATACATGATCAGTTTTTGTGAAGGTGTCATGCGTCCAGAGCTGAGATATATTTTCCAGATCCCCATTATATCTAACTTTCTGGAATTCTATTCAGGTTCTTCTTTGCTTAGATATTTTTAGGTTTTAGAGGGGTAAACTGAGATCCTACCATTATTGTTGTACTGTTGATTTCCCCCTATAACTCATTTATCTTTTCCTTAAAGAATTTAGATGCTTTTGGTGCATATACATTTAGCATTGACAGTAATTCTTTCTATCATACCCTGTAGCAAAATGTAGTTTCCCTGTTTATCTCTTTTAGTTAGCTTTGTTTCTGATGTTGTCTTCTCTTAGATTATGATGGATACCATTGCCTATTTTACTTCAGATGAAGCATAGTAAATTAAGCCCTTTTTTTAAACTCTTATCTTTTGGTTTCAAGTTGCTTTTTTTTTTTTTAAACAACACATTGTTGCATTCTGGTTTCAAATCCATCCTGTTTGCCAGTTTTGTTTCATGGATGAGTTCATCTCATTCACAGTCCTGATAACTAATTGTGTATTTCTCTCCCTCTTATTCTCTTATACTTTTCCTGCTCTTTTTTCCTACCCCATCTTTAAGGGTTTGTTTTGCTTTTGAATAGTCACTCTTAATCTATCTGCTTTTATTCTTCTGTTTATTTCTCTGGTGGTTGAAAAGTATTTCCTTACCCAACTCTGTGTGTGTATATGTATATTCCTTCATTTGACCAGTTAAGATGAGCTTAAGATTCAAGTATTATTCCTTCCTTATTATATAGATTTGAGTTGGAAAAAAATAAACCTCACAAATACAATATAGGAAAGGCATAGCTAGATAACAACTCATAGGGAAAAGATCTAGAGGTTTTAGTGGACTGCAAGCTCAGTATGAATGGGTTATGGCATCCAAGAAAGCTAGGGAGATATTAGGTTTAACCAAGAGAAGCATATTGGCCAGAAATAAGGAGATGTAGTTTGCCCTGGTCAGTTCACATCTTGGAGTAATATCTTCAGTTCTGCATATCACATTTTGAGAAGGATATTAATAACCTGTCCAGAAGAAGACAAGCAGGATGATGAAGGAACTCTAGATCATGCCTTATGAGGATTGATTGAATGGAATAGAGATGGTTAGCCTGAAGAAAAGACTTGGGAATATAATAGCTATTCCCAAAGTTCTGAACTCTCATGATCTTTTTAGATCATGATATCTGTTATCAGGTATTTACTCACAGCTCTTCCTCATCATCCTCACAGTGCAACAGAATCTAAGTCTCTATTCAAGTAAATTATAAAAATCTAAGCAGACTCACCATCTTCTGGAAATTGTTGATTCTTTGACAAAACCACTCTCATAAATGATTATCCACTGATATAGACCAAAAGTTCTCACCTTAGTAAATGGTTTCGTTATCTGCCATGGCTTAAAAAAAACCAAATCACCTAGTGACTTTCACTTAGCTTGACTGGTACTTGGAAAGTAGTCAGTCACTCACTGGGCTCTGACACAAAGCCTCTCCATGTTGATATCTGTCATAACTCTACTGGCTTAACCTTCAAAGGCCTAGGGTCATTTTGACAGTTCCACACAGCATCAGAGAAAGATTTCACTGAAGGATTTAGTCACAAAATTTCTCCAATTTCAGCAGATATTTTTGCTTCCAGAAAGGGATGGGGATGAAAAGCCATGCAAATAAATAACTTTAATAGGTCATAGGCTTCCAGCTCAAGTGAAATTGGTGCACTAATCATCACAGCCAGTAGTGAAATTTCCACTATACTGGTCCATTCCAAAGGTGTGGTCAGAGCAATCAGTAACTGAATACCTACTTGAGTTCCCTTATTTTCAGCACATGTGGCCAGAGCTTATGAACTCCTGGAACTGGAAGAGAACTTAGAAATCATATAATTATTCCAGCCTATGTAGTTGCCTTGTCCAAGCCATCAGAGAAGCTCTTGCTTCAATTCAAACACAGCCAAGGTCAGTAATCCTCAGTCTCAGTGGGGAGGGATTAGTGGAATAGACAGAATGATTTTTTAAAAATTGGTAGTTGAAAAATAAAAATAATAAACTTTGAAAAAAGTAAAACCAGTGGCCTTCCCCCCTCTTCCCAAATTTATTAGGCTTTTCTATTGTTTTCCAAAAGGCACAGAAAGCACTTTTTAAAAATCACCTTCTTGATTTCAGTATTTATCAGAAATGCTGGTGGTCTTTTTTTTTTAAACTTAAAATTAAATAAGGGCTTGACTACAGAGAACCATAGAATAGCAAGTGGCATATTTAAAAAGGAGGGAAAAGGTCAAACAATCAGTATAAGGGCAGCTTAAGGTAATAAACAAAAACCCTTTAAAGCCTACTCTGAAAAGGACAGTAATAATAGAGATTCAGAGTAAGAGAACAGGGGTTTTGAACCCAGGCCCCATTATGTATTTATGTGGCATAGTGGAAAAAGCATCAGACAGATATAGTTGCAAGGCTGGAGCTAGAATCCTGGCTCTGGCTTATACAGCAGCTGTGTAATTATGGCAACTTGCTTTTCTGTTTTTGAGCCTCAGTTTGATCATTGGTGAAATTGCAGGTTTGGGCTAGATTTTCTTCAAAGCCTTTTTTTTTGGCTTTACCTCCAAATACAATAATGAAACAGAGAGGTAAAACATATGGCCTGAAGGTAGCCACAACACTCCCCAATATGACCTGAACCAGATTAAATATAACTGGGAAATATTTGACAAAACAAATAAAAATACAATAGAACATAGATAATTTTAATGTGCGGTTTTCTAAGTCAATATGTACCTACAGTGATCCTTGAATCATGCTCCCTCTTTGTCCAATGCTGCATCCTTCAGTAGAGTGTAAATTCCCAATGGAACGTAAGTTTCTTGAAGGCAGGAAGTTTCATTTCTACCTTCACGTCCCCTTGGCCTAGCACAGTGCCTGGTAGTCCATCGGTGAACGTTTATTGAGCACCTACTATGTGCTAGGCACTGTGCTAAGCCACGGGGATACAGAGAAAGGCAAAAGGCGGTCCATGCCTTCAAGGAGCTCACAATCTAATGAGGGAGATGACATACCAACAACTAAGTATTAACCAGCTCTCTACAAGATAAGTAGGAAATAATCAAGAGAGAGAAGACACTAGAATTAAAGATTAGACGCTGCTGCCTGTAGAAGGTAGGACTTTAGCTGGGACTTAAAGGAAGCCAGGAGGCAGCAACGAGGAGGGGGAGCCTTCCAGGCATGGGAGACGGTCAGAGAGAATGATTCGAGCTAAGAAATGGAGTGTCTTGTGTGAAGAGCAGCAAGGAAGCTGGTATGACTGGATCAACAGGCATGTGTGGGAAGGTGGAGGTGAATATACAGTAGGCCTTATTATGTTTAACAGTTATATATTTAATAAATGCTTGTAGAATTGGAATTGAAGTGAATGAAGGAAAAAATGTGAACAAATACCGAAAGCTATCGTATGAACTGGAATGACTTTTGTTGTATTGTACATTTAAGAGCTCAACTTCTAGAAAGCTTTTGTGAAAAATCAAATGAGATAACATATTTAAAGTGCTTTTCACTTTATCTGTTGGATATCCATTGGAGAGCTACATAAATGCTTATTATTTATCATCATCATCATTATTATTATTATTATTATCATTAGCAGCAGCTGGTCAATTGCAATAGCTCAAGGAATGAACTATTAATGGAGTTGTGGAATACAGAGGAATATAAATGAACTTCATTTAAAAGATGTTTTGAGACACATGTACGAAGGAGAAATTATCTTCGCTAGATTGCATTTAAGTTGTGAAGAAGAAGTCAATTGGCTGTTACCTGCAAAAATATAAGGTATTAGCTGTGTTATTCTAGTGATAATTTGAGTGAAACTGTCCTAGGGCAGCTGGTATAAGCCACACACTGTGCCAGTCACTCTGTTGAGCACAGGCATGGCTGGTACTGTTTTTCTTACCAATGGTGCTAAACCATCTAGGCCTGGAGAGTGGAATAAGTAAATGTTAGTGGTTAGAGGCAGAGCTGGCAAAGCCATTTCTTCTTTGTGGCATGGCAGTTTTCTTGCCAAGTAGAAGAAAGGATGTGTACTTCTCAGCTTTATGATTCTAATTATTTTTCCTCAGAGACTATAATTTTGTGGGCTCCTTGAGGAAGTATAGCATTTGGGGCTGTGCCACTGATACACAAGCTGAAAAGGAAAATTTGGTGCTTATTGAGTGAATATGCATGCAACCTGGTGACAGAATGGGAAAGCAGTAAACCCAAACTCTAAACAAACTTCAGCCCTGGAAGCTGATCTTTACAGGAGTGAGGCCACCCCCTTTGTCAGTCTTCACTCATCCTACTCCAACATGGAGAAGAAACATTCCTGGCATACCCTTCCAGGGCTTTCATAACTAGACAACTCAGCAGTGACTAGAAATCTCATCAAGTAACTTGGGCTCGAGTTTTCCCATTCACATCAACATTTTCCATGTACCTACAATATGCAAGTCACTGTGCCAGGCAGTGGAGGTATGAAGGCAAAAACCCAGTAGTCGCTGTCCTCAAGGAACTTGCATCTATTAGATGATGTAATGCACAATGGGAATGCAGATAAAATAAGGTAATTTGAGGAGGGGAAAGAGCATTAGCAACTGGGGTGATTCATGGTGGAGGAGGTGGTCGGTCCCTGAGTGGAATTTTGAAGGAATCTAAAGATCCAGAGAACTGGATAAGAAGAGAAAGTGAACTCTACATACTGGGGAAAGTGTATAACTTGGGAAATTGCACAGAAGTGGAAATTAGAATGGTAAACTGGGGAATAATAATAATCCAGTTTGGTTCAAACATGGAGTGTCAGTGTATGAAGGGTATTAATATGTAATAAAGTTGGGTTGGAGTTAGATTGTTTAGGTCCTTAAATGTCAAACTGAAAATATGTATTTCATCAGTAGTTGAGAACCACTAAGACTTTCTTGAGCAAGAGACTGATGTTGGGTCATACTTGTGCCTTAGGAAGATAATTATGGCAGCTTCATGGAGGTTGGATTTGAGAAGAGAGGGATTGGAAACCAGAAGACCATTTAAGAGGCTATTACAGTAGTCTAGGCAAGAGGCAATAAGGGCCTGCATTAAGGTAGTGGCCTTGTGAATGGAGAAAGAAGATGGATACAAGAGATATGGAAGAAGAAGCAATGCTTGGCAATGAATTATTATTACTATTCTTATGGTTATGGCAGATGAGGGAGAGTTAAAAGTCAAACTCAAATGTTATAGACTTGAACAACTTGGGAAATTGTGCTTCTTATTTGGGAACGTTGAACCAAGTCCTGAGGTCATCAAAAAGGGGGTTTTACTTTTAGCTATGTTAAAAGAAAGAGGAAAATCAAAAAAGGACTACAGCTTGGGATAGATGGGATGACAACAACTACCAGCACAGAGAAGCAGAGTGGCTCAAGCTCTACTTTACTTTGGTTTTCTCTGCTAAGGAGAATTACCCTGGAACTGGAAATAATAGAACAGAAATGGCTGATGGATAATTGATTCTTTAGAAAATGAAGGAGATATTGAAACAGCACCTACCTCCACTTGACAAAGTCATCACCTGGAGCAAATGGACTATATCCTCAGGTAATAAAAAAAATTGCTTGATATAATTGCCAAAACATGACCAGTGACATCAGAAAGATTGTGGTAAAGGGAAGGACTAATGAAGGGCAAATTTTGGACCTATTGAAAAAAGAAGGAAAACACAAGTTTGCCTGTGAATTTGATTTTGATTTTTGGAAGAATGTAAGACTGAATCATTACAAAGATGGATAGAGAATGTCTAGTACAAGTAGCTGCTAGAAAGAGCAAGCATAACTTCCTCAAGAACAGGTCATATCAGACTAATTTTCCTTTTCAACAAGGTTATTAAACTGGTGGATTAGGGGAAAGATGTTGATATATTTACCTAGATTTTGGCAAGCCCTCTGATAAACTATCTCATGCATATTATTCTTGTGGAAAAGATAGACACAGAACAGATGGTAAGAGATTTGGAGGAATTCAGAACTATTTGAATGGCTGGACTCAGAGTAGCTGTGATTCAATGTTATCTTGTCTCTACTAGGATGCCCCAGGGGTCTGTGCTTGGCCCTAAGCTGTATGACATGCTCATCAAATCTTCTGAGGACAGAAAGATGAGAGGGAAAGTTAAAAACATCAGATGGTAGGGACAGGATTCAAAAAAGATCTTGCCATTGGGATGAATTTATAAAGGTTAACTTCAATAGGAATAAACACAAAATTTCTAAAAATAAATTCTCAAGTAGAAGATAAGAATTGTGGGGTTAGACAATAAATGTTTGAAAAAACATCTGGAGTTCTTGGTAGGCTGTAAGCTCCATATGAGAAAGAATATGATGTGGCAGCCAAAACAGTAATATAATCTTAGGCTCTATTAAGAGAAGCATGGTTTCCAGCAATAACGAGGTGTTAGTTCCTCTGTATTCTGTCCTGGTTAGACCTTTTCTAGAGTATTGTTTTCAGTTCTAGATACCATATTTCAGGAAGAGTTTTTGTGAAGTTGGAGGTCCAGTGGAGATCAACTGGATGGTGAAAGGCCTTAAGTCTATGTCATATGAGGATCAGAAGAAAAGGTGTCTAAGAGGCCACTGAGTCCAACTCTCCTTTTACAGATGAGTAATTGAAGACACATGGAGTTTAAAGACCTGATCAGTGTCACACAACTAGTAAGTGTCTGAGATGGGATTTGAACCCAGGTCTTCACCCCAAATCCAGAGAAACAGAATAACTTCTCATTTTAAAGGTAGCTATTTAACTTGGAGAAGAGAAAACCACAGGAGGAGGAATATAATAGGTATCTTCAAGTATCTGGATGTTGTGGGCACAACTAGGAGCAATATGTAGATGCTGCAAATATCTAAGTTTAGGCTAGATGTTACAGGAAATTTCTTAACAATTAAAGCTACTCATAAGTAGAATAGGCTGTCCTGGGAGGAGGTGGGTTCTCCAAATCCCTTGGAGGTTTTCAGGTGAAACCAGTTGACAGTGGCAATTCATGTCCTTGTTTGGGTTCATTTAGATAGTGGTTGAGGTCTTTTTCAACTCTAACATTTTGTGATTTTTTTTTTTTGCAACAGCTCTGTTAAGGGGAAGAAGGGGTGAAGGAAAGGATAATGATTATTGATAACAGAGAGAAGATAGGACTGATCAATTCTTTTGTTTCTATTTCTCTACATAGGAGGAAGACCTTTGGCCTGGGAAGACCTGAACCAGAGTGGCTAATAGGGAGTCAATACCCCAGAAAAGTAAAGAGAGTACAAGAGCACAGGAGGCATTCTCTTACTGAGTTCAAGTTACCAAGCCCTGTCAAACTTCCAGCTAGGGTACTAGGAAAAAAAAAAACCTGGCAGATTTAATTACTGAATTATTGTCAATGGTTTTTGGAGAGGTGGTATAGGACTAGAGACCTGCAGATATTGTCTTTATTTTCACAAAAGAGAAAGGGAACAGACCCTGAAAGCTAATGGCTAGTGATGTTGACCTTAATTCCTGGCAAAATGCTGCAATATATTATTAGAGGAATGTTTATTAAGCCCAGAAATGATGATCTCAAAGTCAGCATGGTGTTAGCAAGAACAGGTCGTGTCAGACTAACCTCATCTAATTTTTTGACAAGTTAACTGGACTAACTATTAACTGTAGATCAGGGGAATTGTGTAGATAAATATTTACCTGGATTTCCAGCAAATCTTTTCCTAAAGTCTCTCATGTTATTTTTGTTAAAAGATTGTAGGCCAGACAATAATACAGATAAAGTGGATCTGAATGGCTAGACCTGCAGAATAGTTATGAATAGGTCAGCTTCAACTTTAAAGGAGTCTTATTTATTAATGACACAAATGTACATAGCATACTTAACATGTTGGATGCCAGACTCAGGATCCCAAAGGGTCTTGATAAGTCACAATATTGGGCCTAATCTAATAAAATGGCATTTACAAAGAACAAATGTAAAGTCTTCTACTTGGGTTCAAAAAATCAATTTCACAAATATATGATGGGTAGAGCATGGCTAGAAGGCAATTGCTATGAAAAAGAGATCTTGATGTGTCAGTTGTCTGCAATCTCATGACACCCTGTGCCTGGTATGATGTGGTTGCTAGAAAAACTAATGAGAGTGTAGGGTTGCACTGAAAGGCACAAGGTCCAGAAAGAGAGGCAATCTTCTGTTTGTATAATGTATTGTTCAGTTTCCATCAAGTATATTGCATTTTGTACTGGATAACACAGTTCAGGAATAATGTCAATAACCTAGAACACATCCAGAGGACGGTGGCTAGTTTGCGAGAGCTTTGTGATACCCCTACATGAGGATCCATTAAAGAAATGTAGGGTTAGGGTAGATATGAGGAATCATTTCCTAACAATTAGAAATATGCAAAAGTGGAATGGGTGCCCCACTTACTGATGACTTTTAGGCAGTCTTGGTGTAATTTTCAGGTATTCCAACTTCAAATCCAGTTGGATTATGTCAAAGCCAGTGTGTAGATTCAGAATTGGTCCAAGAAATATGTCAATTTTTTTCTGGTCAGCCCTGACCTATGACAATTCTTGAAAAATCAGCTGACACATACAGGACAGGCTAGTCAGCCTGGCTAAAGCAGCAAGGCACCATGTGCCAGGTAAGGCAAGCCATCACTACCTCCTTAACCTGATCATACCCTATACCTCCCAGAGATTCTGAATTCCTGTAGGTCATCTTCCAAACCTTATTCCCCATCTTCTTCAACACACACCCCTTTATTGTGCTCTATTTAATACCTACTCCAGAGAAAATTTATTTTCATCTTAAATCTTTTCCTTTCCCCCTCCTTCCATCTTGTGGTTATCAGTGAGATCTGGCTGTGCTTTCCAACTGGCTGCACATTCCCTCATTCACCTTGACTGACTGACTGAGGTAAAGGAGTTAGAATACTCCTTGCTACCCACTGTCACTTGCAGGATGTTCCCTATATTCTTCACTCAATAACCTCTTGTCCTTTGAGGTCCATATAGTTCATGTGTTCTACCCAATCAAAATCCTGGTAGCTATTGTCCACAGACCTCCAGAACATTGCTCTTTCCCTCCCAATGAATTCAGTGTCTGGCTCACAATCTTTTTCTCCTTCCCAATTCCTGTTCTCATACTAGGGCACTCCAACATACATATTGCCACTCCCCCAAACACAGCTCCCATTTCATCAACCCATTCCTCCATACCACTTTCACATACAAAGATGGTGAACCCAAATCTTGCCATCATTGACACATGTACCATCTCCATGATCAAGAACGCCAAAATTTCCTTAACTGATCACAATCTATTGACTTTCTACCTCTTCCCCAGGCCAGGCTATCATGCTTTCACTAACCACTCTTTCTCCCTTTTCCCAACTTGACATCTTGGTAAACCAGTTTGATTCTACACTGGTAGAATTCCTGGCCTCCGTGTCATATCACCAATTATGTCCTGTCAAGCTGTAGCCCACCATCTGCTCTACACATGTGTTGCTGAACAAGGGTGGAGAAAATCATGCAACTGTTCTGATTGCATCCACTACAAATTTATGTTGCAGAACCTCAACTGGGCCCTCATTGATGGGAGGCATGACTTCTACCCTTCTGTTATCAATTCACTATCCCATACTTCACAGCAGTTCTTTTAAACCTTTTTATCCTTCCTCACATCTCCATTATTCCCCCCACCCTCTCAGCTGAGAACTGAAAAAAATGAGGCCATTTGCTGACAAACTCCCTCTTGTCCCCAATCCTTTTTCTCATACAAATCAGAAGCCTTCTGTCACTATTTCTTCCTTTACCCCTCTCTACTGGCTGCTTCCTTGCTGTCTACAAATGTGCCCATGTCTCCTCCATCATCCAAAAACTCTCCCTTGATCCTTCCATCCCTGCTAACTATATCTTTTCTGCCCTTTATAGTTAAATTCCATGGAAGAGCTATCTATGATAGATGTCTGCACTTCCTCTCACTCTATTTTTAACACTTTATAATCTCATCATTTAACCTAAACTGCTCTCTCCAAGTTACCAATCTCTTAATTGCCAAATCCAATGGCCGTTCCTCAATCCTCATCTTTCTTGACTTCTTTGTAACTTTTGACACTGTTGATCACCCTCTTCTCCTTGATATTTTCTTTCCTCTAGGTTTTTTCCTCCTGTTTATCTAACCACATGTCAGTTCTCCTCTGGATCTTCATCCTGGGTCCTTTTCTCTTCTTTTTCTATACCACTTCACTTGGTGATCTCATTAGCTCTTATGGATTTATTTATCATCTCTGTGCTGATGATTCTCAAACCTACTTATCCAGATTTAACCTTTCTGCTAACCTCCAGATTTGTATCACCAGCTGCCCTTTGGACATCTTAAACTCCACATGTCCAAAACTGAGCTCACTATCTTTCTCCCCAAACCTTCCCCACTTCCAAACTTCCCTATTACTGTTAATGGCACCACCATCCTCCACTCCTCAGTCTCTCCCATTCCCCATATCCAATCTATTGCCGAGGCCCACCATTTTCATATCTCAAAAATATGTCCTCTTCTCTCCTGATACCTATTACCCTGATGCACAGTCCCTTATCTTCTCACACCTGTTGCAATACCTTCATGAATATTGCAATAACCTCTTAACCAATAGGTTTTCTCCACTACAGTACATTCTTCATTCACTCATCAAAATGATTTTCCTAAAGCACAGGTACAACTACATCTCTCCCCCTACCTATTTAATAAACTCCAGTGACTCCCTGTCATCTTCAGAATCAAATCCAAAATACTGGCTGACACAAAAAATGGCCTTCAAGGCCATTGATAAACTGTCCTCCATGCATAGAATGTTCTGTCTTCTCATCTCTGCCTCCTGGCTTCCCTCAAATCCCAGCTAAAATACTATTTTAAAAAAATTAAGTAAAATGCTACTTTTTAAGGAAGACATTCCCAATCCCTTAATTCTACTGCCTTCCCTCTATTAATCAACTTCTATGTATCCTGTATATAGACTGTTTGTACTCCCCATTAGATTATGATCTCCTCAAAGGCAGGGATTGTGTTTTGCCTTTCTTTGTATTTGTAGCACTTAGCACAGTGCCTGTCACATAGAAGGTACTTAATAAATGCTTACAAATTGACCATCATCTTCCCCCAGATCCTGATGGAGCGAGCCTTGGACATGGCAATGCTTCCAGCCCAGTGTAGATACTGCCTGACAATTGTTCCTGCAGGTACTAAAGCCACAGTTACTGATGACCCCTCTCCCAAAAAAGTTCTTGCCACTGAACTCTTTGGCACTGTCAAATGGTTCGACATCAGAGACTGAAATAATTTAATTGATGGAAAGGACATTAGAGAAGAGTCATTGCCATCTGCTTGCCACTGAAACTTTCTACGTGTGCCATTTCTCCCATTAGCCTATAGCTTTTTTAGAGCTGGGGCTGTCTTACTTTCCTCTTTGTTTCCACAGTGCTTAGCACATAGTATTCAATAGACAATGAACTTTTGTTAAGCACCTACTACTATATGCCAGGCACTAGGAAAATGCTGAGGATACAAATATGGAAAAAGAACATCTTTGCCCTCAAGAGCTTACAATCTAATAGAGAAAGACTAAACACAAAGAGAATTGAAAGGGGAGGGGGTTGGCACCAAATATGGGAGCAGGGGAAAACCCAAGGTAGTGCATCCAAGTGAGAAATGAGGAGATGCCTGAGTTGAGGTCTGGAGTTCATGGCTCCACCCTCTAATCACAGGGCAGAGGGTAGTGATGAGGTGGAGAACCAGGGCAGAAGAGACCTTACAGGTTAATGAGGCTGCCCCAAGGTAGTGTAGCCAGGTGAGAATTGAGGGGTGCTAAGTGCTTAATTAATGTCATTCCTCTTTGCCAATTTGTTTAATTATTTCATTGCCACAGAAGCTGAAGAACTTTATGCTTGGGCTGCTTGGGGTATTGTTAATTGATCTTTAAGAAGAAATAAATTAGTATGTGCCACTTTTACTAGAGACCTTTGTCATATTCTGTCATTGGCTCCTTTGAAGGGAGCATTCTCTCCCAGGGCCTCTTCCCGTACCATCTTAAGCTCATAGAGCTAGAAGGAAACAGCCCTCTGAAGACCAAAGATTCTCTATTCCCTATTTCTCACATTTGCTGTGCCCACCCATATTCTCCATCCTCAGGGATGACTCTCTGTGAGTAGTAGAATCTTTGAATAATAGAAGGTTAATATTTAGGTCTTTTAGAGGTCATCTAGTCCCACCCCATCTTGTTACAGATAAGGAAACTGAGACCAGGAGTAGTGATGTGACTTGTTCAGAGTAGTGCTGGGGGCAGAGCCTAGCTTGGAATCCTGTTCTTTCAGGTCCAGTGCTCCACAGGGGCTAGGGATAGGTTCTTAACCAGGGGACTGGGAACTGGGTTTAAAAAAATAACATTTACAATTGCACATATATGAAATGAATTTAATTGAAATGCAATTATACATGTGTGTGTGTGTGTGTATACACACACACAAGTACATATATATGTACATGTATGAATATAGAAAATACATATATATGTATGTATTTTCTATATTCATACATGTATACACACACATTTGTTATTCTGAGAAGGGGATCCATAGGCTGCAAAAGGGGTTCCCTGACTCAAAATAGGTTAATAACCCCTGGACTAGATTTTATCTACTGTCCCATCCAGCCCTAAAATTTTAAGTTAATTATATTTTCTAGTCACACAAACGATCACTATCGTTTTGATTTAGTAAGTATTTAAATGCCTACTATGGGCCTGGCATTGTGGTAAAACTAGGGTTTCAAAACAAAATTGAGGCCATCTCTTCCATCAAGAGCCTTCCATTCTACTTTATGGAACTTATATTCTGTC